TCCAATCTAGAATTAGAAATACAAATTTCCTCACCTCACTACTTCTATACAAATAGCCTAACAATAGCTTCTTTTCTTTTCTTCCTTTTCTCTTTTTCTTGTTCGGATTAGACTTCTGTAAGCTTACTATGCTATATGAGGGTGTGTGCTCTCACAACCTTAAAATAAGCTCTTGGAGAAGCTTGAATATGCTTATATTATATTAATATGTATACTAAAATTGTTGTCATCACGTAGACTTACAAACTCAACTTTAAAATTTATTATAACCTATCTATAGATATAGATAGATAACATCAATACATATCCATACCATATCCAGCCAGACTTGTATCTATGAAAACTACTCATAGAAAACTACTCAATCCAGAAAGAAGCAATGAAATTGCATAAAAGATACTAACAAAGAACTAAATAGCTCAACTTATGAAGAATTAAGAATAAATTTCCATATAGATTAAGATATAAATTTCTCTACCTTTAATGTAATCCCATGGAAATTTTTCTTAATCTCCTTCTCTTATTAGTCTTCTTTCCCTCTTTTCTATTTTTTTTTTTTCTTCTGTTTCTTCTAAAATGGCTGAAAACCCCTCTTTTAGTGCTATTTCTTCTTTTGTTTTTCTTCCCTCTATTATACACTCTGTGGTTAAATGATAAACCCACCAATTGTTTGTAAGAAACAACTTCTTCTAGAAGGTTTAAAGGAAATAATATATTATCTTTTAGCACAATAAACAAACAGCCTCCCAAATGAACATTAGAATTAAGTCTATCTCATTTATATACATATCCATACGTATAGGTATGTTGGGTGTGTTGTGCTGGCAGCATACCCAACCTTCATGTAATTATACTACAAGTAGTCAACAAGGCTTTATTTTATCCATTAAAGTAATACAATATATACTTACTTTTAATAGCTAAACTTTTTCGTCAATTACATACAATATTGCTACATAATAAAGTGATTTCCAGGAGCTTCCACACAATCCAGTAATCCAATGCAATATAACACTTGGCTGCTACAAGCTTAATTTGTAAGCTTTAAAAAAACAAAATAAAACTTCACAAAACAGCCACGCCACAAAATAATAATATATAAATCATGTCTAATTAAAATAAAATCATGCTAATGAACATAATTATGTATCGGGGTCTTACAATTCTCCCCTCGTTAATTAATTTCGTCCTCGAAATTAAAATGTATGAAACATACCGAATAAGTGAGGATATTGCATTCTCATAACGTTTTCACTTTCCCAAGTCGCTTCTTCAATCGTATGACCCCTCCACAATGCCTTTACCAGTGATATAGTTTTATTCTGTAGCACTTGCTCCCGGCGATCCAAAATCTGTACCGGTTCCTCTACATAAGTCAAATCTTCCTTCAACTTTATCGGTTCTGCAACTAAAACATAAGATGGATCTGATATATACTTCCGAAGCATGGACACATGGAAAACGTCATGTGATCTTTATAATTCTTCTGGTAATTCCAACCGATATGCCACTGCTCCTATTCGTTCCAGAATCTTTTAAGGTCCAATGTATCTGGGACTTAACTTACCTTTCTTTCCAAACCTCATAATACCTTTCCAAGGAGAAATACGAAGAAACACAAAATCACCAACTTCAAATTCCAAATCTCTTCTTTTTCGTACATCTACATAACTTTTTTGCCTATCCTGTGCCACTTTCATACGCTACTGAATTATCTTCACTTTTTCTGTTCTAAGTTCAATTAATTCTGAACCCAATAACTTTCTTTCACCTACTTCACCCCAACACAATGGAGTTCTACATTTTCTCCCATACAAAGCTTCATACGGTGCCATTCCAATATTAGACTGATAACTATTATTATAGGCAAATTCAATCAACGGTAAATAATCATCCCAACTACCTTTAAAATCCAACACACAAGTTCTCAGCATATCTTCCAAAATCTGAATAGTTCATTCTGACTGCCCATCTGTCTGCAGGTGAAAAGCTGTACTAAACTTTAAAGAAGTTTTCATGGCTTCATGCAAACTATACAAAAATCTCGAAGTGAACTTCGGATCCCTGTCACAAACAATAGAAACTGGAGCCCCATGCAAACATATGATCACACCAATATACAAACGAGCATATTCATTTGTAGAATAAGTAGTTTTCACTGCCAGAAAGTGAGCTGATTTCGTCAATCTATCAACTATCACCCAAATAGAGTCATGTCCCCGTTTTGATCTTGGAAGCCTCATCACAAAATCCATTGTCACATGCTCCCACTTCCACTGAAGAATTGGCAACGGCTGCAACAACCCCACTGGTTTTTGATGTTCAGCTTTCACTAGTTGACATACCAAACACTTTGTTACAAATTCTGCAATTTCAAGCTTCATATTGTTCCACCAATAGTATTCCTTCAAGTCCCTGTACATTTTAGTACTACCCGGATACATAGCATATATAGAACTGTGGGTTTCCTCTAAAATATCTTTCTTCAAAGAAACATCATTTGGAACACAAATTTGACTTTTAAAATACAAAGTCCCATCGTCCTTAACTGTAAATTCAGTTTTCATACCTTCTCCAGCTTCTCTTCTTTTCTTATCCAGGAATACATCATGAATTTGCAACTCTTTAATTCGATCCAGCAACAAAGGTCTCACCATAATATGTACAAAGAATGCTCCTTCATTTGTAACTGTCAATTCATCTCCCATCAATCTCAACTCCATAATATTTGCCACCCGTGCACACTGTACACAAGATAGTCTCCCTGAAGACTTCCTACTCAAAGCATCTGCTACTACATTGGCTTTTCCAGGATGATGGTGAATATTATAGTCATAATCTTTAATTAACTCCATCCAACGTCTCTGTCTCAAATTTAAGTCCTTCTGCGTAAATAAATACTTCAAACTCTGATGGTCAGTGAATATTTCACAAATTTCACCATACAGATAATGCCTCCACAATTTCAAAGCAAAAACAATAGCAGCTAACTCCAAGTCATGTGTAGGATAATTCAATTCATGATTCTTCAATTGTCTAGAAGCATATGCAATTACTTTGCCATTTTGCATCAAAACACATCCCAGACCCTGATGTGAAGCATCAGTGTAAATCACAAAACCTTCACCACCACACGGAATAGTTAACATTGGGGCTGATGTTAACTTTTTTTTTAATTCTTCAAAACTTCTTTGGCATTCCTCACCCCACACAAACTTTACTTCTTTCCGGGTCAACTTTGTCAATGGCAATGCGATACTAGAAAACCCTTGGATGAACCTCCGGTAATAACTTGCTAATCCCAGAAAACTTCTGACTTCTGTCACATTAGTAGGCCTTTCCCATTTCACCACTGCTTCCACTTTTGATGGGTTAACATAAATACCAACCCCAGATACTACATGCCCCAAAAAGACAACTTTATCAAGCCAAAACTCACATTTGCTGAACTTAGCAAAGAGTTGTTTTTCCCGTAAAAGCTGTAACACAATTCTTAAATGCTTTTCATGTTCATCCACACTCCGAGAATATATCAAAATATCATCAATGAAGACAATAACAAAATAATCAACATACGGATGAAATACTCGATTCATTAAATCCATAAACACTGCTGGAGCATTGGTTAACCCAAAAGGCATTACCAAAAACTCATAATGACCATATCGAGTTCGAAAAGCAATTTTCGAAATATCACTATCCTTTACCTTCAACTGGTGATAGTGACCTCAAATCAATATTAGAAAACACCTTTGCCCCTTGCAACTGATCAAATAGATCATCAATTCATGGCAATGGATACTTGTTTCTGATGGTCACTTTATTTAACTGTCTGTAGTCAATACACAACCGCATAGTACCATCCTTCTTCTTAACAAATAACACCGGTGCACCCCACGGTGAAATACTAAGTCGAATGAAGTCTTTATCTAGTAAATCTTGTAACTGTATCTTCAACTCTTTCAATTCTGTCAGTGCCATTCGATACGGAGCAATAGAAATTGGTGTTGTTCCTGGTACCAACTTAATGGTAAAATCTACCTCCCTGTCCACTGGCAACCCTGGTAATTCTTCTGGAAACACATCTGTGAATTCCCTTACCACTGGTACATTTTCAAGTATCATATCTTTATTTTTAGTATCAACCACATAAGCCAAGTAACCCTGACACCTTTTCTTGAACAATTTCCTGGTTTGTATAGCTGAAATGAGACAGTTTGGAATAACATTTCTTTCTTTTGTAAATCTAAATTCTGGCTCCCCTGGTATCTGAAATACAAATTCTTTCCGAAAACAGTCTATTGAAGCATGATACGCAGACAGCCAATTCATACCCAAAATGATATCAAAATCTGGTATACCCAACGGTATCAAATTTACCTTTAAGTGTCTATCTCCCAATTGTAACACACAATCCCGGTATTCATTTGCAACCACTACCACTTCTCCCATTGGTGTAGAAATAAACAATTTACTATCTAATGATGAAAGTGGTCTACCTAAATGGATAGCAATAGATGATGCAACAAATGAATGGGTTGAGCCAGGATCAACAAGCACAGTAACATTTCTATCCAAAATAGAAAGTGTACTTGTCACCACTTCTGGTGTTGCTTGAGCATACTGAAGTGTCATAGCAAACACTCTTCCCTGGGCTTGCGAACCACTTGTAGCACCCTTACCTCCTCTTGACGAGTTCCCCTGTGCAAAACTCTAGCAGAACTAGCAACACTGCCCACTGAGGTCACTCCTGTCAATATAGGACAATCTTTCTTCCGATGACCCGGCTGCTGGCAATGATAACACTCTTCTGCTTTCAATACAGGACAATCTTTTTTTTGGTGACCTTCTCATCCACACTGAAAACACCCTCTGCCAGTACCACGTCCTCCAAAGCTGCCTTGTTGTACAGATTGTTGTTCGGAAAGCCCTTGACCTCTTCCAATACTTGATGTCTATCCTTAAGATTCACCACCCCTTCCCCTTCCATACCGCGACCTTTAACTTTTCTGACTTGAAATTCCTTCACCTCCTCTTGACTGTGACGGCTTAGATCTATTTCTTTTGTATTGTTCCCTTCTTTCTTGCAATTCTTTCACATCCCTTTCAACAATCATAGCTTTATTCACAAGTCTGTTGTAATATGTTTCCTCAAACACTGAAACTCTAGACTTAATAGCCGCCTCTAAACCATCTTGGAATTTTGTACAATTATCTTCTTCATTCTGTACAAACTTGGGTGCGAACCTCGATAAAGCTGTAAACTTAACTTCATAATCAACTACAGACATTCTATCTTGTTTTAGGAGAATAAACTCCCGTTCCTTCTCTTTTCTGTAAATTGGAGGGAAATATTTCTCATAAAAAACTTTAACAAATGGATCCCATAATATCACCTCTTTCTCTCCTGGAATGAGCAATATATGTTTTGTCGTGTCCCACCAATAACTAGCTTCATTTTTGAACATAAATGTAGCTAAGTTTACCTTCTGGTCTTCTGCTGCACCCATCACTGCAAATATCGATTCCATTCTTCTTACCCACCCCTCTGCTTCTTCTGGTTTGGTAGTACCTGAAAATTCTGGGGGTGTTAACTTGATAAAGCTCTCATAATCTGAGCCTTTCTTCCCTTTCTGTTGTCTTTCCAGCCTTTCTTGTATCATCATTTGACTCGCCATAAATTGTTTGTTTTGTTCTGCCAAGTCTATTATAGCCTTTTCCATTTTCTGCATACCAGTTAAGTACTCTTGTTCTCTTCTCATACCACCCTGAATAGGTTATTCCACTTCAGCCTCAATAGGAACATAAGTGGCTTCACCCTCAGTTCCATGATAACTACTTTCCCTTTCAATTTCTTTTATCTGCAATGAATCTCAAATATAACAACATATATATGATACATAATCACCACTTAAATCTGTTAGTATAAAATTAAGTCAAATAAATGACTCTACTACACACTTCTTACTGCCACTGCCAATCTAGACTCTTATGACCTCCAGAACCTAGAAAACCTAGGCTCTGATACCAAAAGTTGACACACCCCAACCTAATTTACACTATTTAAGAAATTGAACAATTTGGAATGTATCTAACCATCTGCATTAACCTCATTCAACATGACATCATCATACATCAGAATACCTGCTTAACAATTTCAATTTAAAACAGACTATAAGCCTGTTATGCAAATTCTGACAAACTAAAACATTAACGACAAGTTACACCATTAAATTCTACTACAATATTTATATCTTAAACAAAAGATGGTTCATTGTTCCTTGCCCCATTCCCACTCGAGATTCTAGACCTGGCAGTAGCAACCCAACCTGATACCTGAAAAAAAATATAAATATGGACGGAATGAGCTTAAAGCCCAGTGAATGCAACACTACTACCTCAGAGTAATATAAACAAATATTATCTGATAACTTCAATTAAACTTCTTTAATATATTACAGGTATTAAAATATAGTACTCTCCTTCTAGGCCAGAGTATGGACCTTATGTAAATGTAGTACTCTCTTTCTTGGCCAGAGTATGGACCTTATTTCATGTAGTACTCTCTTTCCAGACCAGAGTATGGACCTTATATAATATATTACTCTCCTTCCAGGCCAGAGTATGGACCTTATATAATATACTCAAATTATATATATTCATCTTCAATTCACATAAACAGCTTCAATACTTCAATTAAACACATCCAGGTATAAACTTCCAGTGAGTACACTCACCTTGGCTGCTTTTCCAATTATTTATTTTTCCTTCGGTACCGTCGATGTAGTTCATTCCGTCTCCTTGCCTGAACAATATAATAACCATTTCATATTCATTTCTAAAGAGAAATAAATAATACTCTTCATCTCCATAATAAATCTCAAATATTGTGTAATTCTAGTTAAAATTTCTAATTATAAATATTTAGATTAAATTTCACCCAATGGACTAGAGTTAAACTATAGTCATATTAATTTATGTGAGACCACAATTGAAGCTATAATTAAAAGTAAAATAAATGAAATATATGCAACAATAATTACTTGAACTGAAATTTAAATACGAAACTTCCAATCTAGAATTAGAAATACAAATTTCCTCACCTCACTACTTCCTTACAAATAGCCCAATAATAGCTTATTTTCTTTTCTTCCTTTTCTCTCTTTCTTATTCGGCTTAGACTTCTGTAAGCTTACTATGCTATATGAGGGTGTGTGCTCTCACCTCTTTAAAATAAGCTCTTGGAGAAGCTTGAATATGCTTATATTATATTAATATGTATACTAAAATTGCTGTCATCACGTAGACTTACAAACTCAGCTCTAAAATTTATTATACCCTATCTATAAATATAGATAGATAACATCAATACATATCCATACCATACCCAGCCAGACTTGTATCTACGAAAACTACTCATAGAAAACTACTCAATCCAGAAAGAAGTAATGAAATTGCATAAAATATACTAACAAAGAACTAAATAGAACTTATGAAGAATTAAGAATAAACTTCCATATAGATTAAGATATAAATTCCTCTACCTTTAATGTAATCCCCTGGAAATTTTCCTTAATCTCCTTCTCTTATTAGTCTTCTTTCCCTCTTTCCTATTTTTTTTTTTTTTTTTTTTTTTTTTGTTTCTTCTTCAATGGCTGAAAACCCCTCTTTTAGTGCTATTTCTTCTTTTATTTTTCTTCCCTCTATTATACACTCTGTGGTTAAATGATAAACCCACCGATTGTTTGTAAGAAACAATTTCTTCTAGAAGGTTTAAAGGAAATAATATATTATCTTTTAGCACAATAAACAAACAGCCTCCCAAATGAACATTAGAATTAAGTCTATCTTATTTATATACATATCCAAACGTGTAGGTATGTTGGGTGTGTTGTTCTGGCAGCATACCCAACCTTCATGTAATTATGCTACAATTAGTCAACAAGGCTTTATTTTATCCATTAAAGCAATACAATATATACTTACTTTTAATAGCTAAACTTTTTCGTCAATTACATACAATATAGCTACATAATAAAGTGATTTCGAGGAGCTTCCACACAATCCAGTAATCCAATGCAATATAACACTTGGCTGCTACAAGCTTAATTTGTAAGCTTTAAAAAAACAAAATAAAACTTCACAAAATAGTCACCCCACAAAATAATAATATATAAATCATGTCTAATTAAAATAAAATCATGCTAATGAACTTAATTTTGTATCGGGGTCTTACAATAACGATTGAATCTTTGAAAGAAAATGAGAGTTTCAAGTTTAACTTATTCGAGTAAACTATAAAGTCGCGAAGAGTGTTTTAATGATTAAAGATTAAATCTTTGAATGAAATTAGCTAATTCAAGGTTCCTATTTTGTCATTGGACCTTTTTATTACATAAAGATTCAATCTTCCAAAGAAAATGAGTGTTTTGTGTTTAATCGAGTTACCGATGAAGTCGCGAAGAGTGGTTTAATGACTTAAGATTAAACTGAACTTATTCAATTGAGATATTTCCTATGAAGTCGCGAACAGTGTTTTAATGACTAAAGATTGAAACTTTGAATGAAATTAACTCAATCAAGGTACCTACTATGCCACTACACCTTTTTACTATATAAAGATTGAATCTTTGAAAGAAAATGAGAGTTTTGAGTTCAACTTATTCGAGTAACCAAAGAAGTCGTGAAAAGTATTTTAATGACTAAAGTTTGAATCTTTGAATGAAAATACCTCAACAAAGATACCTGTTATGTCACTAGACCCTTTTAATGTATAAAGACTGAATCTTCGAAAGAAAATAAGCGTTTTGGGTTAAACTTATTCGAGTTCGATTTGACGTCCCGAAGAGTGTTTTAGTGAATAAAGATTGAACCTTTGAATGAAAATACCTCAAACAAGGTACCTATAATATCACTAGACCTTTTTGAATGTATAAGGATTCAATCTTTGAAGGAAAAATTGAGTTTTGAGCTAAACTTATTCGTGATCCTTTTGACATCGCGAAGAGTGTTTTAATGAGTAAAGATTGAATCTTCGAATGAAATTATCGTAACCAAGGTACGTATTATGTGATTGGACCTTTTTAATGTATAACGATTGAATCTTTGAAAGAAAATGAGAGTTTTGAGTTTAACTTATTCGAGTAAGCTATGAAGTTGCGAAGAGTGTTTTACTGACTAAAGATTGAATCTTTGAATGAAATTACCTCAATCATGTTACCTTTTATGTCATTAAACCTTTTTAATGTATAAAGATTGAATCTTTGAAAGAAACTTAGAGTTTTGAGTTAAACTTATTCGAGTTTCTATCACGTCCCAAAGAGTGTTTTAATGAGTAAAGATTGAATCTTTGAATGAAATTAGCTAATTCAAGGTTCCTATTTTGTCACTAGACCTTTTTATTGTATAAAGATTCAATCTTCGAAAGAAAATTAGTATTTTGTGTTTAACTTCATCGAGTTACCTATGAAGTCGCGAAGATTGGTTTAATGACTTAAGATTGAACTAAACTTATTCGATTCAGGTATTTCCTATAAAGTCGCGAAGAGTGTTTTAATGACTAAAGATTGAATCTTTAAATGAAAATACCTCAATAAAGGTACCTATCATGTCGCTGGACCTTTTTAATGTATAAAGATTGAATCTTCGAAAGAAAATTAGCATTTTGAGTTAAACTTATTCAAGTTCCATTTGACACCCTGAAGAGTGTTTTAGTGAATAAAGATTGAATCTTTGAATGAAAATACCTCAATCACGGTACCATTTATATCACTAAACCTTTTGAATGTATAAAGATTCAGTCTTTGAAAGAAAATTAGAGTTTTGAGTTAAACTTATTCGTGATCCCTTTGACGTCGCGAAGTGTGTTTTAATAGATTGAATCTTTGAATGAAAATACCTCAAAAAAGTTACCTATTATGTCACTCTACCTTTTTAATGAGTAAAGATTGAATCTTAGAAAGGAAATGAGAGTTTTGAGTTAAACTTATTCGAGTCCCCTGTGACGTCCCGAAAAGTGTTTTACTGTGTAAAGATTGAATACTTAAATGAAAATCCTCAATCAAGGTACCATTATGTCAATAGGCCATTTTTATGTATAAAGACTAAATCCTAGAAAGAAAATAAGAGTTTTGAGTTGAACTTATTCGGGTTACCTATGAAGCCGCGAAGAGTGGTTTAAAGACCCAAGATTGAATATTTGAATAAAAATACCTCAATTAAGGTACCTATTTTGTCACTAGACCTTTTTAATGTATAAAGATTAAATCTTTGAACGAAAATAAGAATTGAGAGTTAAACTTATTCGAGGTTCCTTTGATGTCACGATGAGTGTTTTAATGAGTTAAGATTGAATCTTTGAATGAAATTAACTCAATCAAGGTAACTATTATGCCACTTGACCTTTTTAATGTATAAAGATTGAATCTTTGAAAGAAAATGAGAGTTTTGAGTTTAACTTATTCGAGTTACCAACGAAGTCGCGAAGAGTATTTTAATGACTACAGATTGAATCTTTGAATGAAAATACCTCAATAAAGGTACCTATTATGTCACTGGACCTTTTTAATGTATAAAGATTGAATCTTCGAAAGAAAATAAGCGTTTTGGGTTAAACTTATTCTAGTTCCATTTGACGTCCCGAAGAGTGTTTTAATGAATAAAGATTGAATCTTTGAACGAAAATACCTCAATTAAGGTACCTATTATATCAGTAGACCTTTTG